TTAAGAAGGCCGCTTCATTCTAACACTTGCCTTAGGACAGTGGTTTTTAAACATTTTGGAATACAGCTTTTTCCCCCAAATTAAATTTTTTGCTGAACTTCAATATGTAAAATTGGGTGTTTTCTTAGTTTTAATTTCTTATGTAAATTCAAGTTATAACAATTCCTTGTTATAAAGAATGACGTTAATATGAAATGTGGGTAAAAATCAACTTTAGCATCCTGTTTATTTCAGCATTTTGGTTTGGAAAAAATCTGCTAGACTTGGATACACAGATGCAAATGGTGGCAGGTTTATAAGTTTGCACTTGGCAATTTCAGATATTTAAAATGGGTCCAGAAGCTTGATTATTGTATAAATATAAAAGACAATTAGTGACACAAGAAAACTAATGGTGTCATGATGGGGGACGTGAAAGCATTTTGCACGAGTAATGAGCAGGAGCAGAGGCGCCCCAGCCTGGCCTGGCATTCGTTGGTTTGTGTGCTGGGAGGGGTGGGGGCAGGCACTCTCTGGGCGTGCACTCGGCTGATAGTGTACACAGCAGCCATCCTCAGGGCATGTTCTGTGTGCACAAAAATGAGTGAATTTCCCTTACCTGCAGCCAACATTTCGACAGCTTCCGTAGTAGATCTTATATATTTCCTAAGTGTGTGTTTTGAAGTTCTTGAACTTTTTTGTAAAGATGTAAATCAGTCAGCCCCCTGAAGTATACTTAGGGTCTTCTGGAACAGTCTGAAAGCCACTATTATTGTAAGGCCTGAGGCCTGGGCTTTTGCATTCAGTACTTAAGCAGGATGCTCTGGGCTGGGGATCGTGTTGGAACAGAGCACGGTCCCGGTCCTCGCGCTTTTACACAGCAGTAGTCCAGTAGAGACAGTAAAGCAGTGATCTTTGGTGATTGAGTAGTGTAAGGTCCAGAAAAGAAAAAAGGAGGAGGCTTGGCAGGTGCAAGTGAGGAAATATGGAAAGAGTTTGCAAGAGGTGAGATTTAGAATGGGATGTAGAAGGCTGAAGAAGGATCAGCCAGCAGGATTGGGGTGGGGAGAGAAACCCATGAGAAAGGCAGAGAGATGGGGACTCAGGTATGTGGCTCCAGCCTTCCAGAGCTGTGAGAGGAGGAGGGAAGCGAGGGTGGAAAGCAGGTGAAGTTGGGGGTGGGGAGCACTGGGCCGCAGGTTACGATGTCTACTTTTAATTGCAAAGAACAGGCACAGGCAAGACTGAAGGTCACCAAGGAAGGGAATGATGTTACATCTTGAGTTTAGGAACTTGAATCTTGCCAACAGGTACCAAAACTGTTCAACATTAGTCCTTATTCGCCCTAAATCAGAACTGGCCCGAGGCAAACAGTTTGTAGCCGGGCTGATGGACGTGGAACCAGCGCTGTCCATGGTAACGGCTTTTGTGTAGCGTGACGCATCCATTTTCTCAAAACCACTCGTGAGGGGTATCAGCCCTCTGGTAGACGAGGAAGCTGAGGCTGCTTAGGGTCACTGCCGGGAAGGCCTTGGGTCGCTGTCTGCTCTCCGGCCCCCACGCTGCCCCGAGGGCCGGGTGCCCAACTGCCCGCCGAGCCTCCGGGACTCCCGCCGGGTCGTGGCTGCGCCTAGTCGCCCTCTCGCGCTGGGAGCCCCGCCCCCCGGAGGGCCCGACGAACCGCCACTTCCGCGAAGTCCAATGAGACTTAGCCGAGGGCGGGACAGAACGCCACTGAGAGCCAATCCGGTGGGGTGGGGCGGGGCTGAGGCGGGGGCAAGCTGAGCGGCCGCACCGCGGTCTTCCCAGCCGGGAGAGAGCCCGGCGCGGGCGGCGCGCGCGGGGCCCTGCTGTGCGCGCGGGGCCCCGGGCTTTACCTGCCTTCGGAATGTGCAGAGCGGGATCGGATCCGGACTCCGGGTTGCGATCCGCTCCGGAAACTGCGCAGCACCGGAAGCCGGGGGGCGGCGGCGGGGCATTGTGGGAGTTGTAGTCCTGGGGGAGGCGGGCGACGTGGACGGGGGGAGCTGGAGAGCGAGCGGCGTGGACCGTGGAGCGGGAGCTCAGGCGGTGTGGACGGGGGCAAGCGGGCGGCGTGGACGGGAGAGCGGGCGGCCTGGACGGGGGAGTGGGAGAGTGGACTGCAGAGCCGGCGGCGTAGACCGGGGAGTGGGTGAGCGACCATCGTGGACAGGAGAGAGGCAGGGCGCGGGCGGTGTAGACAGGGGAGCGGTGAGGCATAGACGGGGAGTGGACGGGAAGCGGGTGGCTTGGACAGGAGAGCAGACGGAGTGGACGGGGAGCCGGCGGCGTGGACGGAGAGCGGGTGGTTTGGACAGGAGAGCGGACGGAGTGGAGGGGGAGCGGGCGGCGTGGACGGGGAGCGGGTGGTTTGGACAGGGGAGCGGACGGAGTGGACGGGGAGCGGGCGGCGTGGACGGGGAGCGGGTGGCTTGGACAGGAGAGCGGACGGAGTGGACGGAGTGGTCGGGGAGTGGGGTGAGCGGGCGGCGTGGATCCGGATCCGTCGAGAGAAGCGGGCGGGCTCCGGCTGTCCTTTCCCCGAGCCGGAAGGGGCGTCTGGCGGCCACGCGCGGCCCCTTCCCGGTGGCGCGCCCGGTCCGGCGACCCCGACAGCACATGCGGGCAGCTCGCAGGGCCCATTCCCTTCTTTCTGATGGCTACGTGGAGCCTTAATTTCTCTTGGCGGGGGGCTAGGTGGGGAAGGGGGTCAAATTTTTCTTTAAATTGGGTCTGAGGTTTGCTGTCCAATCAATAAATTCTGGATGTAGCCGTTGGGCTCCTCTCATTCTTGGGCGTCTTTCTGGTCCACTCGAACACTTCTAAGCGCTTACTCTGACCCCCAACAAGTAAAGGGAGGTCGGGCACTTGCCGTGACTGGCAGAGCGGGGCGTTTGAATCCCGGCGGAGTGGGCTTCTGAAATCCCCACCTTTAACCACCGTAGCGATGCTACTGTGTGGAAAGTTCGGGAAACGCACCTGGGCGGCAAATTGAGGCCAGAGTTCTCCCACCTCCTAGGTCCTCGTGGCTTGTGTAGCCTCTTGATCTCCTCCATCAAATGTACGTGTGGTTACAAATCTTAGAAACAGGAGGGACTAGAGGTTCGGATCTCTGAATCTAGACCTGGCCTCAGATTCAGAGAAGTAAGCCGTCCTGTTCATTTCTGCCTGGCAAACACCTCCATTAGTAAAGTCAAGGAGAGGTGATGAACTGAGGGGAAATGATTTGAAATTGATATCAAAAAAGGCTGGGCTGTTTTCCTCATATATGTAAAGCTCTTAAGAATCAATAAGAAAAAGATACCCCAATACAAAAATGAACAGAATCCATGGACAGTTCACAGAGAAGAAAGTACAGTGGCTCTTAAGCGTAGAAGCAGCTATTCAACTATAACAAGAGAAAAAGCAAAATTGCAGTGAGATAATTTTTATCTGTTACATTAGCAAAAATTTTTTAAAAGTTTAATTGCATTATTTTGAAGAGACTGTAGAAAACCAGTTGTCTCATCTTTCCTGGTGGGAGAATAAATTGGGATTGCCTCTACCTGGGCCATTTGTTAATATGTAGAGAAATTCTAAATGCACATGGCCTTTGGCCCAGCATCCCACGTGCAGGAATTTGTGCTCCAGCCAGACTCACTTGCGTGAATTGGTATTTGTATAACGGCACATCTGTAGGATGGGAGCTGAGCCACTGGAGAAGGAGCACGGGGTGTGAACTACCACGAGGGCTCATTTCTCCTCCTTCTCTAACATTCTCCAGTGCTTCCCGGTTGGGCTTACATAAGGTCTGAACCACAGCCTCCCAGAACTTTTTTTTTTTTTTATATAATTTTATTTATTTATTTTTTCCCCCAAAGCCCCAGTAGATAGTTGTATGTCATAGCTGCACGTCCTTCTAGTTGCTGTATGTGGG